TGGTTAATAAAGATGGGCTCGCTGAAAGTTAAATGTGTTTATTGGCATCTATTAGCTGTCTACAATGAGGTAGGAGAAAGGAGGAATGAGCTAAAGAAAATTCTGCTTACAAGAAGAATTTAGAAGTATAGAGAGCCAGAACATATTGAAAATAACAGCCTTATCTCCAATCTCTGCAGTCAGTAAAAAAAAAAATGCCAACAGAAGAAAGGCTTCAGGGTAAAGATCAAATCAAAGTGTGACTGCAAGTTCCTTTGTGAAGAACTCTGAAATTTCTAAGGTTATGCTTAGCAGACCCTCTTAGACAAAAGTGCCTTTTAAGACTAGTAGTCTGACAGACTAAAGTAAAAGCAGCCTGTTCAAGAAGAATTATGGATGTGGCTTCTGATACAGGCAGTGAACCCCAGTCAGCTTCACAGGAGATTCTTAAAATGTGGAAGTCGATTGCACAAACAAAAGCATCACCATCTTGGACAGAAATAGTCAGCTCAAAAACAAAAGAGACACCTGCATCCTTCCCCAGACTGCTACAGGAAGGGCTGAAGAAGAATTTGGCTTATACAGTGTTTTGCTATAGGAAGGAAGGACGGAAGGAAGGAAGGAAGGAAGGAAGGAAGGAAGGAAGGAAGGAAGGAAGGAAGGAAGGAAGGAAGGAAGGAAGGAAGGAAGGAAGGGAGAGAGGGAGGGAGGGAGGGAGGGAGGAAGGGAGGGAGGGAGAGGAGTGTAATAATAATTCAAGGGGCAGAGTTAAGAATTATCAGAGAGTAGTAGGAAGCAAGAGAATGTGATATGTAAAATGCATTGAATTGAAATTTCAGTGTCTATAAAAGTAACTTAATTTGAACATAGCCACTATATATTTTCGTAAAATCTATGGCTGATTTTACCATTCAAGAGTAAAGTTGAATAATTGCCTACAAAGTCTAAAATATTTACTCTCTGGTTCTTCACAGAGTTTGATGATCTGTGTTTCAGTTATGTTTCACATGCATTTACATGTGGTCAAAAATAACTCAGCCCAAATTCAACACGAAGAAGGGAAATATATCATATCTTGGCTGCGCAAGCCCAAGCTTCTAGCCACACCCACATCCAGCTGAGACAACATATGTAGGAACTCATTGCAATCTTACCAGAAGAGCAAAAATGCACCGGCAAGGACTAAACACTGGTGAAATGAGTGAAAAAGCAAAGAGAAGGAATCTTGACCCAAGCCACTCAAAAATCTATGTAAGAGACTGGGTACCTGTGGCTCATGCCTGTAATTCTAGCTGCTCAGGAGGCTGAGATCTGAGGATCTCGGTTCAAAGCCAGCCCAAGCAAGTACATCTGTGAGACTTATCTCCAATTAACCACTAGAAAACTGCAAGTGGCACTGTGGCTAGGGTGGGGTGCTAGCCTTGAGTTAAAGAGCTGAGGAACAGTGCCCAGGCCCAGAATTCAGGCCCCATGACCAACAAAAAAAAAAAAAAGAAAAAAATCCATGTAAGGTGCTGAGCACTGGTGGTTCATGCTTGAAATCCTAGCTACTCAGAAAGCTGAGAACAGAGGACCAAGGTTGAAAGCCAGCCCAGGCAGAAATTAATGAGCAAAAAGAGCTAGAAGTGGAATGGTGGCTGAAGTGGTAAAACACTGGCCTTGAGCAAAAAAGCCAAGTGAGAGTATAAAGGTCTTGAGTTCAAGTCTTAGTACTGACACCAAAACAAAACAGAAAACAATCCCTGTAAAAAGTTTGTGTGGAGTTGTTAACGTTTTCCCCTACCTTATTATACTGTAGCCACACTGGATTTAGCAGAACTCTACTTTTAGTTATTCAATAGTTAGCTACTGCAGTGAGGAAATCAAAGTCTCCATCAACAGAGCAGACACTTAAGATTTTGAATTTCATTGTAAATATTCCACAAGCACAGACATGGGGCTAGGTTGAAAACAAACCATGATTGTAACCTCTATGGGCTTACTTTCATTATTTCTATGGCAGTGTCTTTGCTTATCCCTTTTCTAATGTGTTCTCTTCTTTCCTGACTCGTCTTTTTGATTACTCTAAAAGAACCAGAACTGGTGATTGAAACTCACGAAGCTTGAATCTGACCAGCAATGAAGAAAGGAACACAGATATTTACCTCCCAGTACTCTAAGTCCCATTACACCATCCTACTTTGTGCTCTGACAATTCATTCTTTTTTTTTTTTTATTGTGAAAATACTGTACAGAGGGGTTACAATTACATGGGCAAGATAGTGAGTACATTTCTTATCAAGCATTGTAGCCTCCTCCTTTGTTTCCCCTTCCCATCCTTTCCCATCCTCCCTCCCCCCCACCCAATCCTCCCTCACCTCCAAGTTGTAAAGTTCATTTTTGACATGACAACTTGTACTTCTCATTGCTGCAACAGGTCCACCTGTATCCTTATTTAAACGACTTGTTTTTCCCCTTCCCCTCCACAAATTATACCGACATCAAATACAGTGAAAGCAGGGGTTATACTGTGGGGGAAGGACATACAAAGCAACAAAGAAATAATCTTATAATTGCATTAGAAACAAATGCATGAAAGAAAAAAAATTTAAAATACATGTCTTAGGGTTCATTTTCCTAACATCACCTTATCTGACCTTTTCTGCTTGACTCAGACATATTCTAGATATTGCAAATAAGGGAAATCATGGGGGTTTAGGTAAGAAATTGCAGCCAGCAAGAATAGACAAGTAGTCGGTCATAGAGAAAGGAAGGTAAGTTAGAAGAGGAAGAGCAGAAATATGGAAACTAAAAGCCACAATCCTATTCTGACCTTTTTTTGGTGGCTGTTGTTTTGTTTTTATTTTTGTTTCTTTGCCAGTCCTGAGGATGAAGTAAGGGCCTGGGCAATGACCCTGGGCTTCTTTTGCTCAAGGCTAGTACTCTACGGCTTTGAGCCCAACTCCACTTCTGGCCTTTTTTGTAATGCTTTTTGTAATTCTGAATTTCAGAAGACTGTAGAAGGGTGTTACAAGTTAACATGTCCATCTAATTATCTCATACTTCCTGATCAGAGTCATCCCTCCCAGCATTCTCCACCCCCCTCCCCACCCCAGTCCCATCTGCTCTCTCTTACCAGGCTCATTTGACAGTTCCCATTCCTTTATCGCATAGGTAGGTCAAGAATTCTTGCTGTCTTTGTCTTCTCTTCCCTTTTTCATTTATCCATCCCCCATTCCACTCCCCTCCTCTAACAATATGGAGGAATTTCAGCCGTGGGAGGGCAGTAGAAATGGCCTTCTCTGTACTTCCAATTTTAGGAACCACCTCGATTTTTGAGTACAAACACAACGACTGCAAATTAAGTCATAGTCACTAGGGATGCCAAAGTACACTGGCCACTTAGGTAACTATGCCTTCTCATCTGGAGAAAGAGCAATACGCTTCTGAGTAAAGCTACATCATGTGTCTTTTCTTGCTATTTATTTTATTGTTTGATCAATTGCAGGTAAGGCAAGCATTGTACTACTGGACTATTCCCACCTAACTTTCCAGGAAAGGTCTTTGCTCATTTCCTATGGGAGATCAAGGTGGGAGGAGGGCAGAAGCAGTTTGCTTGCCTGATACCTGCTATCAGGAGCCCATGAGGAATAAAGTTAATATTTTATTAAAATTGGTCTGCAGTGTTAGGGCTATAGATAACAGGTAGAATCTTGTCTAGCATCGTGTCATCCCTGAATGGAAAGAATTCATTTGCTTTTCACTATCACCATGAACAAAAATTTCTAAATGATATCCATAGCCAAATCTTCCTTCCTGCCAGGACAAATGGCCTAACCCATCACGTTCTGCCTCTTCATAACTCACTGCTTAATTTAGCCAAAACTCTAAAAGGTTTCTACTCTTTTATTCTCCCTAGAACCACATGATGGGTTCAGGTAGCATGCCTGTCATCCTAGCTACTCAGGAGGCTGAGATCTGAGGGTCACAGTTGAAAGTCAGCCCTGGCAAGAAAGTCCATGAAACTCTCATCTCCAAAAGTGGGAAAAGTGGACAAAAGTGGAAATTGAGGCTCAAGTGGTAGAACACCAGCCTTGAGTGAAGAAGGCTAAAGGACAGTGCCCAGTAGTGGCAGGAGGAGGAGGAGGAGGAGGAGGAGGAGGAGGAGGAGGAGGAGGAGGAGGAGGAGGAGGAGGAGGAGGAGGAGGAGGAGGAGGAGGAGGAGGAGGAGGAGGAGGAGGAGGAGGAGGAGGAGGAGGAGGAGGAGGAGGAGGAGGAGGAGGAGGAGGAGGAGGAGGAAAAGAGGAGGAGGAGGAGGAGGAGGAGGAGGAGGGAGGAAAGGGAAGGGGAAAGATGACAAACACTCTAAAAGCACTGAGCTAAAATTCACTTTACCTTGTGGTCCTGTCAGAAAGCCCCAAGCAGTTATATAAGAGAGAACACACAAAACCTTTTGCAATGTTTTCCCTCCCCACCACCAGAACCTTCTTTTTGTTCCTTAAACTCTGGTCCTCGCTCCATCCTTTCTTTGGAGAAATTTCTCTAATTTGTACTCCACAAACTAAAGTAATAAAAATGTCCCTAGGGTTATCTGGCCTCTTTAGAGAATCCAGAAAAATGCCAGAGGTGGGGGAAGGTGTAAAGGATAATAATTTAACACAGCCAGTCGACCAAATACTAATAACACAGGCAAACAACTCTAAAAAATATGTACAGGTTGAACCATAATACCTATTTGAATATACTGTAGAAAATAACGAAAGTACTAAGGCATGAATAGGAAGTATTGTCTAAAGCTATTTCTTTGTATTTACCTCACACCTTCTGCTATCAAGATAGCATTTCACCTATGTTAGTTTAGCAATTATGGTTTCTAATTTTATTGTACCTCTCATATCAAGGGAAATTTTCTGATAAATTAAAAGGAAAAAGCTAGCATCTCAAAACTATATAAGCTACCTAAAGTGCTTTCCACAGAGTGTGATTTTTTTCTACAGTATTTCTCTTTAGAAGAAGTTGCTTATAGTGAAATTCTCCAATAGTGAAGTGGGATAAAAGGCCTAAATTGCTTTGGCACAATTCAGCAAGCTTTCACTCCACTTACTGAAGTGTACTTTTACCTACAAGCATGTGCCACTGTTAATGAGCACTTACCACACAGCGTTTGGGTGAAAAGTGTCTCTACGGAAACTCTCCTTTCCCAGAGCACAAGAATGAGAGAGCAAAGTGGACCCCCTTTGCCGAAGGCTAAAATGACCAGGAATCTCTGCTGGATAAAATGTAGCTTCTTCTTGATAATGTTTCCAAAATGAGGGGGGTGGGTTTAAAAAATAAGATTTGTTAGATTTTTCCCCATTATTCCATGTTCTATTTTGAAGAGTTAAATATCAATTCTAGACCATAGAAAGTGAACTATTCAGAAATGAGATTGTCTATTCAGTACAAGCTACTCAGAGTGCTTACAAAGCATTGTACAGGTATGTTAGGCTAGGAAGTTTCTGCTTGTGGTTATTTATTACAAGAAAGGTCACCAAACTTGAAATCTCCTATTTTGCAAAAGAAACAGGTAGCAACACTTGTCTTTAAACGTGACAATTCCTCCAATTGTTTCCTCTCAAAATACCAACTGAATTTTTCTTTTCTTTTCTGCTGGTGCTGGCGCTTGAACTCAGGGTCTAGGCACTGTCTCTTGGCTATTGCACTCAAGGCTGCCCTGTACCACTTGAGTTACAGCTCCAGTTCTGTTGTTTTGGTGGTTCATTGGACATAATGGTCTTAAGGACTTTCCTGTTCTGGACTCTTCTAACAGGTATCCTCTGGTCACGGGATCCTGAGGAGCTAGGATTACAGGCATGAGCCACTGGTGCCTGGCTCCAATAAACTTTTTAAGGATTTAAGCTTTTAAAGGATTAATATTAAAATATTTTAATGGTCTCATCTCCTACTTTGTTAGTGAACATTGGGAAGCATCAATCATGTAAGCAAACATATTACTTATCCAGAGATTCACTTAGAATGGTCACGTGTAAATTAGGATGTTCTGAAAGAAATCAGAGAAGAGAATGTCAAGATTGATGTCTTAGAAGGCCTCCTCAATTCCAAGAGTAGTGCATCCTGTAAATCATATAAATACCTAATATGTGAAATATTGATAATAATCAAGCTTAATGCTCAGCATTTCTAATATTTTTGAATATGATTTTATTATTTTTGGTCCTTTATTTTTTATTTTTTATTGTGAAAATACTGTACAGAGGGGTTACAATTACATGAGCAAGGTAATGAGTATATTTCTTTTCTTTTCTTTTTTTTCTTTTTTTTTGGTCCAGTCATGGGGCTTGAACTCTGGGCCTGGGCACTGACCCTCAGCTCTTCAGCTCAAGGCTAGCACACTACCACTTGAGCCATAGCACCACTTCTGGCTCTTTTTTTTTTTTTCTGCTTATGTGGTGCTGAGGAATTGAACCCAGGGCCTCATGCATGCAAGGTAAGCGCTCTACCACTGAGCCACCTTCCCAGCCCCAATGAGTACGTTTCTTATCAAGAATTGTTGCCTCCTCCTTTGTTTCCCCTTCCCATCCCTTCTCATCTCCCCTCCCCCTTTCCCCTCCCCCTCCGCGCACCAAAGTTGTAAAGTTCGTTTTTCCACATAACATCTTGTACATCTCATTGTTGCAATGGGTCCACCTGCATCCCTCTTTAAACGATTTGTTTTTTCCCTTCCCCTCCACAAAGTATACCAACATCAAATACAGTGGAAACAGGGGTTATACCGTGGGGGAGGGACATACAAAGCAACAAAGAAATATCTTATAAATATGTTAGAAACAATAGCAAGAAAGAAAAAAAGTTGAGTCTTTGTCTTGGGGTTCATTTCGCCTAACATCAACTTATCTGACTGTTTCTGTCTGTTTCAGTCTGAGACTGTTGACTCAGACATATACTAGATATTGCAAATAAGGGAAACCATGGGACCTATGTTTCTTTGGGCCTGGCTTATTTCACTTAATATAATTTTTTCCAAGTCTTTCCATTTCCTAACAAATGGGGCAATGTCATTCTTTCTGATGGAAGCATAGAATTCCATTGTGTATATATACATTTTCTTGATCCATTCATTTACTGAGGGGCATCTGAGTTGGTTCCATATCTTAGCTATGGTAAATAATGCTGCGATAAACATAGTTGTGCTGGTAGCTTTAGTATGGTCTTGTTTGTGATCATTTGGGTAAATGCCCGAAAGTGGAATTGCTGGGTTATAGGGGAACTCTTGATTATGTGGTACTGAAGAATTGAACCTGGGCCTTCATGCATGCTAGGCAAGTATTCTACACTAAGCCACATTCTTAGCCCACATTTCTAATATTTTAAGAGTAACTTTCTTGAGTACTCATTGAGTGAGCTTCAGAATACTGGTGCTGGGCAGCAGCTCTGAAATAGTTATTTGGCACTTGACTTACTCCAGCACCTTTGTTAGACTAGCAGATCTTATACCTCATCCAATCATGTTGTGTTGGAATCTCAGTGGGCATGGTTAAGATGTCAACATAGTAATAATGTAATGAATTCCTATTCCTGTACGGCAACCATAGCACTGAGGCTGATTGCAGGGCACCACCTGCAGAAAGTTCATAGAATTTCCAATTTTCAAGAGTCCTCACTCTTCTCTATTGCTTGTTCCAGAATGCTTCTCTTGCTTATATTATCTATACAACTTTTAGAAGTAATGTTTTCTTTGTGTGTTGTTGCTGTTATTGTTGTTTTTGTTGTTGCTGCTGCTGTTGTTTTGCCAGTCCTGGGGCTTGAGCTCAGTCTGGGCACTGTCCCTGAGCCTCTTTTGCTCAAGGCTCTAACACTTGGGCCTCAGCACCATTTCCGGCTTTTTCTGTTTATGTGGTACTGAAGAACAGATCATTGATGTTAACATACAGAAACATTCAATTCTAACATGAGCTTTGAAAGGCAGAGTCTGGGTGGAGATGAGGGCACATCTTGACTAGAGAAACCAACTTCAGCATTAGCAGCTTTGCCCTGACATCACAGTTGTTTGGTTACATGTGAGTTTTACACATCTGTCAACTGAATCAGACTCCAAATGAAAAATATAGCACACAGAAACATTATGAGGATTTGTGACTCTCCATGGAGAAATGGGGGTCCATAAACCAATAGCTACATTACTAAACCATAGAGGCAGAATACTCGCATCGGTGACAGACATAATCTTGCTTTAGAACCACTTGTGTCATGTTGCATAAAACTATATTCACTGTCCTCAGCCAAAATGGTTTTAGAAGATGAGTGACAATATTAAATATGGAGCTGGGCCTCAGTGGCTCATGCCTATAAACCTAGTTGCTCCAGAGGTTGAGATCTGAGGATTGTGATTCAAAGACAGCCTAGGCAGAAAAGTTCCTGAGACTCATCTTCAAATACCATAGAAGTCAGAAGTGAGCCAGGCACTGATGGCTCAAGTTTGTAATCCTAGCTAGTCAGGAAACTGAGATCTCAGGATCAAGACAGGAAAGTCTGTGCGATGATTATCTCCAATTAACCACCAGAAAATAAGAAGTGGCACTGTGGGTCAAAGTGATAGAGTGCTAACCTTGAGCAGAAGAGTTCAGGGATAGCTCCCAGGCCCTGAGTTCAAGCTCCACAACTGACAAAAAAGATGTCAGAAGTGGCGCTGTAGTTCAAGTGGTAGAACATCAGCCTTGAATAAGAGAGCACCCTAGCCCCAAAATATCCATACTAGGGCTTGAAAATATAAATAAATCTATAAATATAAACATAGGGAAAAATATTCTAAAGGAAAAATAACTGAACCACATTGGAGAACACCTAAATTCAATTTCTATCAATACATCTTGCTGTGATCTCCACTTAGCTCACTAATTCTATTCCCAATGAAAGCTCTTAAAATCACAAACCACTTCACCAATCAAGATCTCATTCATATCTCAACATAGTAGGATTTGATAGTAAGGAAACTGAGACTTACTCAGTTTGTAACTTTCCTAAAGTCATAGAGATGCTCCAAGTGGCCCTGGAACCAAATCCAAATATTCTTTCCACAGTGCCATATACTGTCTTCAATCTGTGAAATGGCCACATTAATTCTGTATTTTAGTTACTCATTCAGAAATTGTTTGTAACTTAGATTGGTCAAAACCATGAGTACAAAAATAGAGGAATTGACTTATGGGTTTCTAGATGGTCAAAAGAGTGTAAAGGAAGCCAGACATCTGTGGCTCATACCTGCAATCCTAGCTACTCTGAAGGCTGAAATTTGAGGGTCCCAGTTCAAATCTAGCCCTGGCAGAAAAGACCATAAAACTCATATCTCCAATTAACCACAAAAAGCCAAAAGTAGAGCTGTGGCTCAAGTGGAAGAATGCTAGCCTTAAACAAGAAAACTCAGGGACAGCGCCCAGGTCCTGATATCAAGCACTACCAAAAAAAAAAAAAAAAGTAAAAGAATTGTTTATGCCAGCAGCATATACGTATATTAGAAATACTGTCACAATTTTTATTTGTATTCTGAAATAAATCTACAAAAAAAAATACTACACTGGCTTTTTGAGAAGTACTAGATATAATTGTAAGACTTAATGCAATCAGATGGATACCTTGCTTTTATTTGGGCCAATGAAGATGCTTGGCATAATTCACTTTCTACATTGTTGTCAAACGTAAGCCAATGATCTGATTTGAAAGCCATATTTGCTGCTTGTGGATGGAAGAGACCAATGTCACAGTAGCTCTAACTCTTGCAAATTTCACATTGCTCAGACAATGCATCTACCCCACAGCTCTTAGGTTCTCTGGATAGAGTGTTTGTAGGAATTGAAATGTATGATCATCACAGGAAAACACAAGAACAGACAAGCACAGCAGACATGGCCTGAGAAGTCCCAGCCAGAGGGCAGATCATCCATTTCTTAGTATCTAGAGAAGATGTCTCATAACATAGCACTGTTACCTGAACAGTAACCTATCTGCACATGTGCTCAACATGCCTTAAATATCAGAACAGTCAAGCCAGTTGCCCGTGGCTCATAACTGTAACATCATACCTTAACGTCTCAGGAGGCTGAGATCTGAGAGTTAAGGCTCAAAGTCAGCCCAGGCAAGAAAGTCTGTGAGACTCTTATCTCTAATAAGCCTCTAAAAAGCTGAAAGTAGAGGTGTGACTCAAGTGGTAGTGTGCTAGCCTTGAGCAAAAATACCTAGGGACAACTCCCAGGCCCTAGTACCAGCCCAAAAAATAAAAGTAAAATAACACAATTTTAAGAATAGACTCTCTCATAAGTTTGAGGACTTGACAGAAACGGACCTTTTCCAAGCAAATATTGACATGCCAAAACTAAACCAAGATGAGTTAAACTATCTTAACAGGCCCATAACAAGCACTGAAATAGAAACAGCAATAAGAGACCTCCCAGCTAAAAAAAGTCCAGGACCAGATGGTTTTACAGTGGAATTTTACAAGGCCTTCAAAGCAGAGCTCACACCAATTCTCCTCCAACTCTTCAATGAAATTGAAAGAGAAAGCTCACTACCGAACACATTCTATGAAGCCATCATAACCCTCATCCCAAAACCAGGCAGGGACTCATCAAAGAAAGAGAACTATAGACCCATTTCTTTGATGAATATTGATGCAAAACTTCTCAACAAAATTTTGGCCAATCGACTTCAACAATTCATCCAAAAAATCATAAACCACGATCAAACAGGATTCATTTCAGGGATGCAAAGCTGGTTCAATGTACGCAAATCAATTAATATTATTCATCACATCAACAGGAGCAAGAATAAGAACCACATGGTTATCTCAATAGACGCAGAAAAAGCATTCGACAAGATCCAACACCCCTTCATGATGAAAGTTTTGGAAAAATTAGGAATCCATGGAACATTCCTCAATACAATAAAGGCTGTATATGACAAACCTACAGCCAGCATTATACTCAATGGTGAAAAACTAAAGCCATTTCCTGTTAACTCAGGAACAAGACAAGGATGCCCACTCTCTCCACTTCTCTTCAATCTAGTATTAGAATGCCTAGCTACAGCAATAAGACAAGATACAGACATAAAGGGGATCCAAATAGGGAAAGAAGAAATAAAACTCTCCCTCTTTGCAGATGACATGATCTTGTATTTAAAGAATCCCATAGACTCCACTCCCAAATTACTCAAGCTGATTCAAAACTTTGGCAAAGTAGTAGGTTATAAAATTAACCCCCCAAAATCAATGGCTTTTCTGTATGCCAACAATGAGAAAAGTGTGGCTGAAATTAGGAAAGCAACTCCATTTGTAATAGCCCCACAAAAAATAAAATACCTAGGAATTAACTTAACTAAAGAAGTGAAGGACCTCTATGATGAAAACTTTAAAATCTTGAAAAAGGAAATCAACACAGAACTAAAAAAAATGGCAAAGCCTCCCATGCTCCTGGATTGGAAAGGTTAACATCGTGAAAATGGCAATACTTCCCAAGGCTATCTACAAATTCAATGCAATACCTATCAAAATTCCACCCTCATTCTTCAAGGAAATAGAAGAGGCAATCCAAAAATTCATATGGAACAATAAAAGACCCCGAATAGCAAAAACGCTCCTCAACGGAAAGAACACTGCTGGAGGAATATCAATACCAAATTTCAAACTCTACTATAAAGCCATAGTAATCAAAACAGCTTGGTATTGGCATAAGAACAGACCTCAGGACCAATGGAATAGAATTGAAAACACAGAAATGAACCTACAGACTTATAGCCATCTAATCTTCGATAAGGGAGCTAAAACAATAGAATGGAAGACAGACAGCCTCTTCAGTAAATGGTGCTGGCAAAACTGGTTAACTACATGTAGAAAACTAAAGCTAGATCCTTATATTTCACCCTGCACCATAATCAACTCCAAATGGATCAAAGACCTTGAACTCAAAGCAGACACTCTGAAAACATTACAGGATGGAATAGGAGAAACCCTAGGTCTCCTTGGCTCAGGCCGAAATTTTCTGAATAGAGACCCGGAAACACAACAAATCAAAGAAAGGTTGGACAAATGGGATTGCATAAGGTTGCAGAGATTCTGCAGGGCAAATGACATAGCTAGCAAGATCAATAGAAAGCCCACGGATTGGGAGAAGATCTTTACTAGCCATACAACGGACAAGGGTCTCATATCTAAAATATACTTGGAACTCAAAAAATTAAACCACCCAACAACAAATCCTCAAAGAAACAACTGCCCAATAAGTAAGTGGGCCAAAGACTTAAAGAGAAACTTCTCTGAAGAAGAAAGAAGGATGGTCAATAGACACATGAAGAAATGCTCAACCTCCCTAGCCCTAAAAGAAATGCAAATCAAAACAACATTGAGATATCACCTCACTCCAGTTAGAACAGCAAAAATCAAGAACTCTAACAACAACAGATGCTGGAGGGGATGTGGACAGAAAGGAACCTTACTTCATTGTTGGTGGGAATGTAAACTTGTTCAACCACTTTGGAAAGCAGTATGGAGGTTCCTCAAAAGACTTCACATAGAACTCCCCAATGACCCAGCAATCCCACTTTTGGGCATTTACCCAAATGATCACAAACAAGGCCACACTAAAGCTACCAGCACAACTATGTTTATTGCAGCATTATTTACCATAGCTAAGATATGGAACCAACCCAGATGCCCCTCAGTAGATGAATGGATCAAGAAAATGTGGTATATATACACAATGGAATTCTATGCCTCCATCAGAAAGAATGACATTTCCCCATTTGTTAGGAAATGGAAAGGCTTGGAAAAAATTATATTAAGTGAAGTAAGCCAGGCCCAAAGAAACATAGGTCCCATGGTTTCCCTTATTTGCAATATCTAGTATATGTATGAGTCAAGCAGAAAAAGTCAGATAATGTGATGTTAGGAAAACGAACCCTCAAATATGTATTTTAATGTTTTTGTTTCTTTCATGCATGTGTTTCTAACGCATTTATAAGATTAATTTTTTGTTGCTTTGTATGTCCCTCCCCCACAGTGTAACCCCCGCTTTCACTATATTTGATGTCAGTATAACATGTGGAGGAGATAGGGACAAACAAGTCGTTTAAGGATTCAGGTGGACCTGTTGCAACAATGAGAAGTACAAAATGTCATGTCAAAACCAGCTTTACAATGTCGGTGTGGAGGGGGGAAGGGGGGTATGATTGGGTGGGGGGAGGGGGGATGCTGGGAAGGGTGAAGGGTAAACAAAGGAGGAGGCTGCAATGCTTGGTAAGAAATGTATGCATTATCCTGCTCATGTAATTGTAACCCCTCTGTACAGTATGTTCTCAAATAAAATAAAATAAAATTTAAAAAAATATTCCCATGTTGCTTTGGAACATGTCACCTTTGGAATATGTCACCTTCACAAGTAATTTTGTTCATGTTCCCCATGAACATGTCTGTGAGCATGGAGTTACCACACACTCCCTTCACAGCCTGTAGTGGGTGGAGGACTGGTGCCTGCTCCAGGCTTGAGAAGTAATCCCGGCAGAGGAATCATTCAGGATCCTGGCATGAGGTTGCCATAACACATCACTTCAATTGTGTGAAAGGTCCTTATAGAGGAAACGCTGGCTAGCTGTCTTCTAACCTTACAGAAGACAAGGCAGCAAGTGGTCTGCATGGAAGATCACATTTTTTGGCTACAACAAGGGAATATTTGACAGCCTGGACCTTTTTTCCCTAAGGAAGATAAAGTCATGGAGCAAAAGGTACACCAGCAAAGTGGAAAGATTTTCATTCACCTGAGGAATTACAAAATTGAAATGCTGCTTCCTGCTTGTCATAAATTATGAGTCATATACTTGTGTGACTCTATTTCCTCATCGCTAAAATAAGTTGGTGAGTTTAAGATTTTTCCATTTTTATTTATGTGGAACAGATAAGGCTCTATTCTGATAAGAAATTTACCCCAAAAGCTATATGGCAGGATATATCTCAGAATAACAAAATACTGTTAAAGGCCATCAGTATTGTAGCCAACTTGTACCTTATCCTAAAAAAGCCTACTTCTTCAATGACACACTGATACATTTTTTTCTTTCTTTTATTTTTCTCCTCTCCCAAATAGAATTTTAAAATTTGACTTGTTGCTTATCCACACGTGTCCTGGAAATGGAAGTTTCTGTCCAGTTCTCACTGCTGGTTTTGCAGCACATATTTAAGGAACAAGAACATAGCTGGACTAATAGGCCACTTGATAATGGAAAATGTGGAGATTGACAAGGAACTATCTTCTTGTGCAGCTCTTCTCAGTAGCATTCAAGTCTGGGGGAGCATGACTAGGCACATTTTATGAATATTTAAAATCTTAATAAATTCCTCAAATCCTAAAGTTCATTTTGCAAGATCAGACTGCAGGATGGTGTTGCTGTATTGTTTTGTTTTGTCTTTTGAATTTGTGTACTGTGTCCAAAGTTATGCTTTAAATAATTGTTAATGCATTTGTGAAGTGATTTGTTTTCAGGACATAAAAGGTGATTTGAGTATTTAAAAAAAAAGACTAGTAGTATGTTAGAATGTCAAAGAGTATGTGTGGTTCGTGCTTCTCATCTTAGCTACTCAGGAGGGTGAAATTTGGAGGATCATGGTTCAAAGCAAGCTTGGGCAGAAAAGTCCACAAGACTTTTTAATCCTCCAAATAACCAGCAAAATGTTGGGCTGGAGGCATGGCTCAATAGGTAGATAGAATGCCAGCTGGGCAAGCAAGCTGAGCAAGTACAAGGCCTTGAGTTTGGATTCCAGTACTGCCAAAAGAAAACAGCATGGAGACTTTCCATCTGCTTTTTATCTTCAGCCTCCTCATTCAGTTATGTCTCATAACTCATAATCAGTTATACCTCTGCCCCTCTTCATAGTCCAGTGGTTTTATGACACAAAGATTGAATTTATCTTGGTGCAGATTTCCTGTTTAATTAGCTTCATGAAGCTTGAAACAAGTCTCTTTTCATAAATCATTTTTGGAACCAAATCAGCATTCTTCCAGGGGGTAAAAATAGTGGCCTGTCCTTTCATCTTTCACTTTCCAAAATTAATTTGATAACCAGGTTTTCCTGCCTTGGAGGGTGGCTGTGAGCCTCTCCTGTCATTTCTGATGATTACTGGAGTCTTCAGTTGGTGATTTACCTCACAGCTGGTGTCAACACCCTTGCTTTCCAAACAACCAAACTTTGCCTTAGGAAAGTATGGTTTAGGAATCATCCTGCAGACTAAAGAAACTGCTCTTAAGAAAACACCTCTCGGAGGTTCTAGTCTGTTGGGCCTTGTGGCAGCCACCCCGTCTCTGCGCTTGCTCCTGCCAAGGCTGCACCTGGGCCTGGGACGAGGCCTTCGGGTCCACAGCCAGCATTGCAGCCGCTGCCGCCGCCGCCCTCTGCCTCCCGAACATATCCCCGCAAAGTCAGGGAGCTTCGCGCTTTCGTGAAGATGTGTAAGCAGGACCCAAGAGTCCTGCACACCGAGGAGATGCGTTTCCTGCGGGAGTGGGTGGAGAGCATGGGGGGTAAAGTACCACCAGCTACTCATAAAGCTAAATCAGAAGACAGTATCAGGGAAGAAAAAGCAGATAGTCAGAAGACAGAAGAAAACATACCGACAGAGGAGCCACCCAGTGAGGAAAGCGACCTATAAATTGATAATGAAGGTGTAATTGAACCAGACACTGATGCCCCCCAAGAAATGGGAGATGAAAATGTAGAAGTAACTGAGGAGATGATGGATCAAGCAAATGAAAAGAAAGGTGCTGCCATTGAAGCACTAAATGATGGTCAGCTACAGAGAGCTATCGACTTGTTCACAGATGCCATCAAGCTAAACCCATTCTATATGCCAAGAGGGCCAGTGTCTTCATCAAATTACAGAAGCCAAATGCTGCCATTCGAGACTGTGACAGAGCCATTGAAATAAATCCTGATTCTGCTCAGCCATATAAGTGGCGAGGAAAAGCACACAGACTTCTGGGCCATTGGGAAGAAGCAGCACATGATGTTGCCCTTGCCTGTAAACTGGATTATGATGATGATGCTAGTGCAATGCTGAAAGAAGTTAAACGGAGGGCCCAGAAAATTGCTGAGCACCGGAGAAAGTATGACCGAAAACGTGAAGAGCGAGAGATTAAAGAAAGAATAGAGAGGGTTAAGAAGGCTCCAGAAGAACATGAGTGAGCCCAGAAGGAAGAAGAGGCCAGACGACAAGCAGGGTCACAGTATGACTCTTTTCCAGGTGGCTTTCCAGGGGGAATGCCTGGTAATTTTCCAGGGGTAATGCCTGGTAATTTTCCTGGAGGAATGCCTGGAATGGGAGGTGGCATGCCTGGAATGGCAGGAATGCCTGGGCTCAATGAGATTCTTAGTGATCCAGAGGTTCTCCCAGCCATGCAGGATCCAGAGGTGATGGTGGCCTTCCAGGATGTGGCCCAGAACCCTGCAAATATGTCAAAGTATCAGAGTAATCCAAAGGTTATGAACCTCATCAGTAAATTGTCTGCCAAATTTGGAGGTCAAGCATAATGCTTCTCTGAGATAGCCCTTGGTGAAGGAAAAGCAACCTAGACCGCTATGTGGATGTCGCAATAATACAAACCAGTGTACCTCTGTCCTCGGCTGGAGTCTGGGGTGCTTTGAAGATTATCCCTACCCCTCTGCACCCAGTGCAGCTGTAGTAATGTACAGTGGTTTGCCATTAGGGTATTCATTCAGATAATGTTCTCCTAGGAATTAGAAACTTTAACACTTTTAAACCTCCAATATATTTGAAACAAGTTAAAAAAAAAAAAAAAGAAAACACCTCTCCCAAGAGAGCAGATCCTTCTGCACCAGCTCATTGTGTCTCAGAGAGTGTCACTGGCTCATCAGAGGAGAATAAAACTATAATAAAGTGGTGTCATTCATGGGATGTCCTGCGGACTGTCTAAGAAGTGGACGGATTACTGAACCTCAACGTTTCTCCAAGCTGTGGTCCATCTGAGTCTCCTTTCTCAGTGTTTTGGGAGCTGTGTTTCTTTTCTTCCCGGGCCAGCATTACTCATAACTGCCATGCAGAATATGTTTAATGAATTTCCATCTATAAAAGCAAAGGAAAACCCAAGTGCTTTGCTGTGCCTACTGCCTCAACGTGACAGAATACAGCAAATTCTTTCAAAGCACAAGAGAAAAGCTTTTTGTTAATAGTCTAGGACCTAAATCTTTCAAACCTGTGGTTACAATGGAAATGGTGCAAGAGATGTGGATGGGAGAAAGGACAGATGAGAGAATGGGGGTGAGACTGTCCTGGTCTGAGCTGGTCCCAAGGCCAGCTGCCTACCTGAGCCCCAGGAACAATCAGAGACTAGATAAAAAGGGAGAGAAGCTAAAAATCTGAGAACAGATGTGTTCTTAATCTATGTTTATTAGCTACTTGTCTGTGTAATGACAGAGTATCTTGGAGGCTGCTCTGCCTATAAGTTGCTAGAATCTAGTTATCAAACAGAAGAAATTGACTTTAGGAATAAAGGCATGATGAATGAAGGACAAAAGGTAGCATTTAAAGGCCAGTCACTTGAAGGAAGAAGGAGGAAATAGACACTTCTTCATTTTTTTCCCTTTCCATTGGCAGCACTGAGGTTTGAACTCAGTACCTCCTGCTTGCTAGGCAAGCCCCACCCCAACCATTTCTTTCATTGGCTGTTTGTTTGACGTTTCATTTTGACATGTCCTTAATGCACACCGTGCTCCTGGGTCAGCCTCATCCCTTCTATCGCTCCCCTTCATCCTCTCTCCTCCTTCCTAAATCAGTCTCACCATGCTTTATTGCTTATTTTCATACACATCGACATAAAACATGGTGAACCCCTTGGCTACCCTTCACCCTCTCCATTCTCCCACCCCTTTGCACTAGTTCTTACCACAGACAGGACATGTTTCACCTTCCTAAAGTTTTGTGTGTGTGTGTGTGTGTGTGCGCACAGTATTTATTTATTTATTTATTTTTATTGTAAAGATGCTATACAGAGGGTTACAGTTACATGAGTGAGGTAATGAGTACACTTCCTCTTGAACATTGGTACCCCCTCCATTGTTTTCCCCTACCATCTCTTCCCTCTCTACCTTCCCCGAGGTTTTTTTTTTTTTTTTGATTGTGATTAAGTGATTAGATAATTTCCCGAATTTCACAGTATTGTGGAATAATGATGTTCATTTAAAGTCACAAGTTCATTCTAACTTTCCTGGAGCCAATTGTCTATCACAGTCTATAACATATAATGGTGTTCACATGTTATATACCATATATGTGATGAGCAGCATGGGGATATTTAGTAGTGGTTCGACCAGATGAGTGGGAGTTCTTTGTTTCTTAAGTCCTGTTAGTTTTGTCGTATCACCTAACATTTTGGATTTAGCATCCACTTATCAGGGAGACCATGTACCGTTTGTCTCTTTGCTCTTGGCTTAGCTCGCTCAACATGATTCCTTCTAGCTCCATCCATTTCCCTGCAAATGCCATTATTTTGTCATTTCTAATGGCTGCATAATATTCCATTGTGTATAGATACCACAATTTTTGGATCCATTCATCTGTGGTGGGGCATCTGGGTTGTTTCCATATCCTAGCTATTGTGAACAGTGCTGCAATAAACATGGAGGTGCACGTGTCCTTGTATATTGGTTCCTGTTGTTCAGGGTAGATGCCTAGAAGTGGTATGACTGGGTCGTAAGGGAGGTCAATCTTTAGCTTTCTAAGGACCCTCCAGACTGCTTTCCAAAGTGGTTGTATAAGTGTACATTCCCACCAGCAGTGTAATAGGGTTCCTCTTTCTCCACATCCCCTCCAGCATTTGTCGTTGGCTGATTTGTGGATGTGGGACATTCTGACTGGGGTAAGGTGGTATCTCAGGGTTGTCTTTATTTGCATTTCCTTCACCACCAGGGATGATGAACATTTCCTCATGTGTTTCTTTGCCATTTTTACTTCTTCATTTGAGAAGTCCCTCTTTAGTTCCATTGCCCATTTAGTAATTGGTTAGTTAGGTTTGGGAGGGATTAGTTTCTTGAGTTCCCAGTATATACAGGATGTTAACCCCTTGTCTGATATATTGCTGGTAAATATTTTTTCCCAATTAGTTGGTTATCTTTCTAGCTTGGTTGCGATAGATTTAGCTGTGCAGAAGCTTTTTATTTTAAGGTAGTCCCATTTGTCGAGTCTCTCTCCAACTTGTTGTGACCTTGCTTCCTAATGTTTTTGTTAAAGTTCATGGCACTTGTTCTCAGGAACTTTATTATGGCCCTTCACGCATGCATCTATGGTACTTTAATCAGATTGATCACATATTTAGGTACAGGATTTGGTATGTGTTTACTTATATGTTTACCTTCTAGGTCTAGCAACCAAGTATGAGAGTGAATTTGTGTGTGCTGGTTACTTCTGAGCTAGGGTCTCACTTCGTGCCCAGGCATGTGCATGGACTGTCATCTGCCTGTTTTCTTTAAGTTTCCACTTGTTGCTTACACATGTGTACCACTTTATCCAAATCTCAGTGGCAAAGGTAAGCTGAAAACTTTCCTGCCTAGATCGGTCCTGCCCAATGTTAGCCCCCCCAACTAGTTAGAATTATGGTCATGGACAACCTTCATTGGCCATTCATTTCCTTATCCCCAACATTTTTTAAGGGACCAGTGAAGTGTCCAGACAGAGAATGTAAGAAGTAAGTGGTCTCTTCGGAGGTGCCATTATATAACATCTTACTATATATCAGGTTTTTTCTAAGAAGCTTACATCATTTTTGACCCTGTTTTGTTTGTGGCATTGTTTTTACCTTAGGGACAGAAGAGAAAACAGGAGTATTGAGAAGGGAAGTAATAGGTCTAATGTTACAAAGTGAGTGACTTAAAAGCTGTGGTTCAATCTCAGGAAACTTTTCACAATTTTTTATTTTGGCAGTTTGGAGTTCGAGCCTAGGACTTGATGCTTGCTAGGCAGGTGCTTTCCCACCAAGCTACATCTTGAGCCCTTTTTGTTTTGTTGTTATTATTGATTTATTATTGTTATTATTATAATACTGTAACAATATTATATTATTTATAACATAATATTAAATATTATATTTATAAATGTTATAACTCATGTAGTACCATAATAAAATACTGGGTCTTAAACTCAGAGCCTAGAACTTTTGCTTGACTTTTCACTCAAAGTTGGTGCACTACCATTTGAGCCACAGCTGCACTTGTGGCTTTTTGCTAATTAATTGGAGATACAAGTGTTTTAGATTTGTCTGCCTGGGCCAGCTCTGAGCCATGATCCTTAGATCTCAGCCTCCTGAGTAACTTGGATTATAGGTATGAGTCACCACTGCCCTTCATGCTTAGGCTAGATGAGCCCAGAGCCTATTTTTCTAAAGTCAGTCAAAAGAAAAGTAAGTGTCCTGTCACCTTAAATGGCTTTGTGGTATCTGTTTGCTTCCCTAGAACATTCCATCTGTGTGGTTAGACACACTGGCAAGTCCTAACCCAGACTTTCTTCCTGGGTCTGGGACACTGGGCAGTGGGGAGATCCATGGGTGGTTGTCACTGCAGAGAATTGAGCCTGCAATGAGCAGTTGCTAACAGGTGTGTGGTCTTGGTAGACCAGTGAGCTGCTGCCAGCTTCAGCACACAGGAGTCAAGTTAGAAATGTGTGGGCAGGAATGGCCTGGAGAGCCCTGAGGTGCGTCTGGGGGCTGGGTGAAGCCCTGGATGTGGTGTCAAGGGCAACAGGCAGGAACAGGTGGTTCAGCTGCCAGGAGCAGCCAGGCCTGTCATGTGAGATGAGGTGTGTGTGTGTGTGTGTGTGTGTGTGTGTGTGTGTGTGTGTGTGTGGTGGGTGGGGAGGGGTTGTGATGAAGGACAGCAGCTGGACAAGTCTTCTGGGAAGGAGCCTCCTGCCAGGCTGGCCTGGCCACCTCCTCCATAAAAAGCCAGAGGATCCCCAGGGATCTCTCTGTGCCTGAGTGGAGAGTGGTCATGATGTTTAAGAGACAGAAGGTAGACAAAAGAGAACATGGCTTATAGCAAGGAAGAAACACAGAGGTTAGAAGTGGCTTAGCTGGGCGCTGGTAGTTCACACTGTAATCTCAGGAGGCTGAGATCTGAGGATCGTGATTCAAAGCCAGCTGGTTAGGAAAGTCTTTG